TATTTCTATCCCAATCTGTTTGGCTTTATGTGGTTTGAGCTTGTTTTGATTATATGTTTTTCGCAAAATTGGTTTGAATTATGGTGTTGAATCAATGGTGTTGTCTATGCAGGTAAATTCATCGCTAGGCAAAATGTCATGAGGTGACCAGCATTCGATATAAATCTATTGAACAAGTTTGTAATATTCATGAAACGGAATTCATAGCCGGCGTCACCAATTGCAGCAGTCGTGAATTAATTTTACCGCATTTATTGAAGCAACAAGACGCCCAGCATGCTATTTATTTTTCTCTTTCATCATTTTATTTCTGAATATGATCGACACTATGACAAGCGGCCTTGTCTACACATCAAACGATCCTTGTTGTACGGAAGGTGACGCATATACCATGCATATATATAAATACACAGCGAAGGAAAAAAATAATAATATGAGAATCAATTATTTGGCTTTGGTTTGTTTCTAAATGGCTTTGCGCCGTGAGGCATCAGTCGAGTCTCGACACGATCAAAGTATTCGATAAAAATTTCTGTGTCGATGGAAAATATTCAACCAGTGTGTGCGCACGCTCGCTCATTTCAACCGTTTTGAACAAGTGAACAAACTTATGCTAACGGTATTACTGGTGTTAATTGCTGTTTATTGGCGAGAGAGAAAAAAAAAGAGGAAAAAAATGAGCCCAACCACTTTGGAATTGTTCCAGTGTGTCGTTTTGTGAATTTCAAAGTGTAATACACACATATTCTCGCACAATTTTTGATATAAATTCCGTTGTTTTCGTGTTAGGTATATTTTTTGTTGTTGATAAAATCAGGGCGTCGATTTATTGCCTTTTAAAATAGAAACAACAACCAAAATGATTGGTGGCCAACGAAAAATGACCGATCAATTGTCGAAATGGTGGAAAACAATACCCAGAATCAGTCAGTATTTCGTATAAAGTTTTATTTATGTTGAAGGCCTTCTAATTCATTTTTTTTCACTTACTTCGATAAATTTGTATGTGGTAGCTGTGCATAAACCATTGCACGCTCGCCAAACAACGAACACAAAAGAGAGAAAAAATCGCCACGTACAATGCACACTAGTTTTTCGGTTTCATTTAAGCACCAGCCATTAAATTTTCCTTTGTTTCTTTTGAAGTTTATTTTTCTTCTCTTCGCCACACATTAAGCTCACTTGGGCCTGTACACCAAACAAATATAGACTACAATGGCTGTGCCGATGATAATATTTCAAACGCCAAAAATAGGATCATGGATTTTGTGCAAAAAAAAAATATCGTCTCTCGAACTACTTATTTGCTGTCGTAAGACGATTGATTCTTTGTATTTGCTCTTCATTCCATTCAATTTGGTATCACGTAAGCCGTACGAAATCAATTTCGTCCCCAAAAAAACGCTAATCGGATTCGATTTGTTTATGGTGAACCATTGATTTTGATGATAATAATAATGCACGATGCTCTCTCTCTCTGTTGTCTACTGTTGTTCTGGTTGACATTTAAAAAAGGTGATGAGAGAATATGAAGAAATAATATAGTGTATATACATGATTCACACAGATTTGTTGCAATAAAAATATGCTGACCTTCAACAAGAGTTATGATATTTATGATTTCACGTTTTCGTTTCAATTTCATTTTTTTTTTGTTGAATTATCATTTTTACAATAAACTTTATACACCAAAAGTATGTGTCTGTGGCTGAAAAAAAGAGACGATTGAACGTGGTGTTTTCAAGACATGACCTGAACGAATGCGATACATCGATATGTTCGTCTAATGAAATGGTACCGATTCCATGGGGCCGTAACAAATTCCAATTTCAGACAAACTTCAATAGAAATTGTTCAATCTTCATGCTCCATGCATTAATGGGGTTTTGATATAAACACAATTAGAGTTTTGTATTTTATATCGAATTTCACTGTGTGTGCTTTTTCTCTCACCAAGCCGCCCAATCGGCGTCTTTTGTATGCTAAATAAATGCTTGGCGTACATCGGCCAAACATCAAAATCTATTTTTAATGCGACGATTTCTTTTTTTTTCTTCATTGTTATTATTATTGGCGAGTCTGTGTTGTGCACAAATGGTCTTTTTCCTGTCGAAAACCAGTTTTATGGTACTGCCGTCCAACGATAATAATATTTAATGCTTGCATGAGGCCCACAAAAATGCAACGCGCTTATTCATTTATCTTATTTGTTTCCCCCTCAAAATAGTTTATTTATTTTATTCTTTTTCTGTGTTGGCTTGTGTGCCGAGGTATGCGCACCCATTTACAAATGCAGCATGCAATTTTTTAGATCGTTTACAAGAGATTTCGAATGTGAATAAAAGAATTTGTCATTGTTGTATTCAGGAGTTTTGTACCAAGATCTTGGACTATAATAATGCTATGGAAATTAAATACCAGCAGCAAAAATGGTGCAGTCATTTGGCTTCCATTGTGTATATTTGTATAATGGACATCAATATACATGTTTTATATGTGCAATTAATTTGTTTTGGTCAGCCACCAACTGCATGCATGAAATTAGTAAACTGACACCCATACGGGGGTTAAGCAAACTGTTGCGCGCTCTTGATCGAACACTGAATTTTGTTGTATTATTGCCCTGACATCGGTCGCGCCTTTTTCGTCGGAAAAATGGCAACTTGATCCATAAAAGTGGAGCCAAACAGAGACAATTGTCTCATTGTCTGGCTACACGATTAAATGCCTTTAATTAAAAACTATACATATAATCCAATGTGCGCCTGCGCACGCGCACGCATCTCTGCCATGGTGCAATGCATACGCTTAATCTGTCGTTCATTTGTCCCAGTAGTCCATTCGAACGAACAAAAAAAAAACAGAATACTCTGTTTAGGCAATATATATATTTTTTTTTTCAAGAAAAGCAACAACTAAACTGAAATTATGCACTCACTTTTCCAATACTATAAAATATATATATAAAAACAATTACCAACGGCAAAAAAGGCGAATTTTGATACAGTGCGATGCGGCGACATGCATATACACCGAAAGGTAATAGGTGGTGAAAAAGAGAAAACGATATTGAAGGAGAGACAAGCCGAAATATGTTGCAAGCGTATATCAAAGTGTTGTAAATTGTCCGGCTGTCCAAATGGCTGGGCTCGCTCTATTCTCTGTACTTTGTAGTTTGGTGCGATTTATAGGAAACGAACAATTCGAAACAATAATTTATTTATAAAAGCATGTAGCACGAATCGAAAACTGAAACTACGCCAGAGAAAAAGCTGCATACTCTTGTGCATACACACGGCTCAAGCCACTGTCAGAGAGCGAGAGAAAGAGAACGCGCCGAACATAAAAATTCCAGCGTCAAGGCTGTCTCGATTTACATTCTTTATTTCACTCAACTGTTTTATTGCAGGCAACTAAAGCACCATTTTTTAAATGGTTTTTAATAACGCATACGACGTGTGTGTGTGTGTGTGTGCGATTGCTTTTTCATTAAAAACCATTTGTTTCTACCCCGATATATGCTGAAATGCTTGACAACAGCGAATGGTGATCGTGCACGATTTCATAGTGAGTGAATGAGTGAGTGGACAGAAAAAGTTGAATGCTGCCAATTTCATAGAATCTTTTGAGCATGTAAATGTTAAAAAGCCATTTGTCTTGTTAATCGAGCATCGCTATTTGAATGTTGCGACTGTGTTATGAGAGAAGAATAAAACAACCAACGATGCCAGAATTAAATAAATAAATGGAAACAATTGTTAAAGCCATTGATCTAAGTTAGACCAAATACGAAGAAAAAAGACACATTTTTCTTTGTCGGAATTGGCCACGACGACAAATAAACCTTAAAAGCTCTTTGAAATCGTCATTCATTTGCAATCAATGATCGCAAAAGAGCGCGCTTGCTCACTCTGAACCCATGAACTCAGCACTTTTTCGAAACAATTTTAAAAGAATACGAAAAAAAAGTAGGAAAAAAGCCGTGCACAAGCATAAAAACCAAATTGCTTGAGTACCAGTCGTTTCACACATTTTTTATTGTTGTTGCTGCTCTTCTCTTCACTATTTCATTTTAGTACTTGTGGTGACTGTGTGTAATGTCAACGACTCTCAGGCGATATGACGGTACGGTATAGTCATATAAGGCGTTTGGATTAACATGGTAAAATGGTAAATCCAAAATCAGATTACGTCTCACATTTTCAACGATGTAATAAATGAACCGTAGACATTTAAGCCATTCGCAATGTGAAAAATCAATTGTACATCGAATGGTCAACGAAATTCAATTATCATTTCAAATACACCGTTTCTAAATAACTTCTTTTATCTGGCAATAAAATGTTTTATTTGCTTTTGGATTCTCTGCCCATCCAAAGAAGAAAAAAAAGAACAATCAATCACAATGAACATGAATGATCAACATAAAATGGTAATTTTTATCGTTCGTCTCATAGAACAACCACACCAATCATCAACAATAAAAAAATAAAATAATACCAACGGCCATAACAACAACAGCAACAGCAACTACAAGTTACAGTGTATTTAAAAATGCTTTGCGGTTTCCTGACCATAAATTATTATGAGAAACAGTCTATTTACGTTTAGAAACACATTACCATCAAGCCACCGAACGCATTTCATGCTCTCTCACATTTCGTAAGCATGCAATACACTTACTCAGATTGGTTTGCTTTGAAATTTCATGAAATTAAAACTTGTTAAACATGTCACTTTGCCTTATTATATATATATCAAATTAGTGTAAAGTATAGGCGGAGATAGAGTGTATGAAAAAAAAGCAGTTCGGATAATGCAATATAAAATTGCTTCGACCATATGAGAGTGTCATTATATTTACAGGAAATACGAAGTTCGAATTGAAAATTGCACACACGTACAAAGAAAAACGGAGCACAAACCAAACGAGTTCAACGGAAGTTAAGGCGATTTTTCTAATGGATTTTTTTTCTTCTTGTGTCATTATCTATGCATAGGTTTGTTTTTGAAAATCAAATTGATTGAGATTTGCTCATAAAAGAGAAGAGACGTGAAAACCCGTTGAGTGCGACGGAGAGGAGAAAAAACGATGTCTGCGCTTAGACATCGTTCGCTGGTTGGCGCGCCACCACCACCCGGCGACAGTGAAGATGAATTCTCCGATAACGAAAGCACACCACTCACCCAAGACATCTATGGCGGCAGGTAAGAAAATTTACAAACAACAAAAAATAAACAAAAACCGTTTTTACGATAGCGAAAAGATAAAACAATTTTTCAAATGAGAATGTAAAAGAAAACCGAAACATATGATCAGCATCGTACAAATAAATCTAAACCAAAAGGTGAATGTGAGCTGTAAATTGGTTTTGAGTCAATTGCTATTCGTTTCAGTGGTGAAAAAAAAATCAGATTCATTCTTCGAACGCTTAGAAAGTTGAATGAGGCTAGTTCGAGATCGAGTTTGAATGAAGCATAGATCGCTCGTAGTGTACGCAGCGTCACAATGAGCATGTTTAATGTTTATGTTTTGGATTTCATGCTCGGTTTCTTCTCTAATCATGATCATCACGATCATTACCATCACCGTCATTTTTCTTTTAGCGCTCACAAATTAAGTGCTTGATATTTTGCATTTTCCTTCGTTCATTCATTCATTCGCTCACTCAATCTCATTCATAGCATACAGTATATATCATAAATGTGTGTGTTTTTTCTCTTTTGCTCAAAACGATCTTTAGCTACTGAGCACACAACGGAGCTGTGCATGGAGCACTCAACACATCATTTACCACAACCACAAGTTCAGTTGCGAGCGCGCGAGTTGTTTCTCTTTTTTTTTCATTTGCTTTGCCATCATGTATCGGTGTGTATTCATTGTTGTCTGTGGCTTGGTTAGTGAAAGTGATATTTAGTTGCTTTATTTATGTTACTGGATGGAGTCATAGTTGTTGTTGTTGTTGTTACTGTTTTTCATTTTCCGTTGAGCTATTCGCGCAAAGCACTCAAACGAAACGAATAGCATAGAAATACTTACGGGCATCTGGCATAAATCTCAACATACAACTTCATAGCGTATGCTTCTTTTTCATCTTGTACACAGCGAGTGTGTCTATCTGTATCTATCTTTTGCCATGTCTGTCTAACTTTGTCTTGTCTTTTCTACTTTTTTTTTTCAAAACTAGTTTAGCTCAACGATTTGCATTTGAAATGGATTTATTTTATTGGTTTTTATGTCTCTGCAGTGTGTGTGTGTGTGTGTGTAAGTTGAATCTCTTGGGGTTTCCAAAACGAATGCGCTTTGCATATCTGGTCATTTCCAGATTTCTGGCTCACTTTTCTATCTTTCTCTCTCTTTTGCTACGTTTCACATTTTTGTCTTTCTGCTTGTGGCTATTTTACATCGATACTGACCAGTCAACAGAAATAAAGTTGTTGTAACGTTTTCGATTTCAAGTCCGTTGTATGTAAATTATTATTGCCATTTTTCTCTCTCTCTCTACAACTTACATTGACTTGAATTATAATTGTTCATTTCCGAACCTTATAGTCGATTTAAGACCAAAAATTACGATAAATCAATCGCACGAATTGTTTCGCCTGTTTCTTGTTTTTCTAGTTGGCTTTGGGTTACCGCAGATAATTTCAATATATATTTAATCATAGTTTACCTTGACTGGCTCATTTTGGACATTCAAATGATTTACCTTTCGACTCTAAACTCAAATTTAATATAATTTACCTTTCAATTGTAATGCAAGTGGGTTCAATCACAGAGTGGCCGTACTTTACAATATGCTTTATGTTTATACGTGCATTGAAACGTGCCTCATACTTTTGGTCGAATCGATATCAATTTGTCTGGGTGCCAGGCAATTTGTTTGCTAATTTGATTAATGTATTACTGCCACACGTCATCTAATCCAGAGTATTGTTCCGTGTTTGATCACAAAATCAACGATCTCGAGTATCGTTTACGACACAATTTACCGCAAAACCGATTATAAAGGAAGAAATCTCGTTTGATTTTTTGCTTTACGTAAGAATTCATCACATTCCACAAGATATTCGATATATTTTGTTCGAAATGAGGCCACCTTTTGATTGACTGTGATTTGTACGCTTGACGTGTTTCCAACATCAAGATTTTCTCCCTTTGATATTGTATTTTCATTAACAAAATGTTAACCGTTTTAAAAAACACGAATTCTTCCGTTTTCATTACGTGATTTTCTGCTGTGAGAATTTAGATTGTTGTGATTGATGAACGGCACTTTTCAATATTGTTTTCATTGAGTGGGTGATGTACACGCGCTCCCGCACCAATGAAATCATAGCATTCACTTTATTTTTCCAGATAAGATCATTTGGTTTGTGCGCTTTTTGTTTTCATTTACCTTTCAACAAAGTGCCATTATGCGTTATCTCCAAGTTATATCCAATGAAAATCCGATTACGAAATCGGATTTATCCATAAAGAAATATCAATCGCTCAATCGAATTGCAGCCAATTCAATTGGATTTCTATCGCACGATTTGTTTTCGTTCACTGAAGTGTGGTATCAATTTTCAAGCAAAAATTGGATTTCATCCAATGCGATTATTCGCCTTTCAATGAACTGGAGGTGGTGAATAGAAGCAAACAAGCGTATAACGTAACATCGGCGAACAACACACACACACACACACACACACACACACATATATTCTTTGTTATTCACCATTATGATTTTATTTGAACAAAGATATCTGTAGCTGTATATAGCGAGATTATTGTATAATGGAGTTTATTGGTGCACGTTATTTTTGATTATTATGGATTATCCCAAATTCAACAGCAACACAAAATGTGAACCAATCCAATATAAATGCGATGATGATGTTATGAGTTGAGAGTTATTACATACCATTACATATAAACAATCAATTCAAAATGCTTGAGATAAGTACATCCACGCTGCTGTATATTCTCAAAAGGTGGAAAACATGTTGAACTTGAATACTGATGCACCGTGCTATTTTAAGAACCAATTGCCTTTTTTTCAATGAAAAACATTTTTTTTCATTTCTTTTTTTCTCTTTCTTTCTCTATCACAGTCAACGAACCGTACAAGAAACAAAAGGATGGGATGTGTTCCGAGATCCGCCGCTCAAAATCGAGAGTGGTTCGATGGCAAATCAGGCGTGTCTTGATTTATCGGTGAAAATTCTAAAAGTGTTCGCATATCTATTCACATTTGTGATTGTGCTTGGCGGTGGCGTTATATCAAAAGGCTGTGTATTGTTTATGACGGCGCAGTTGCGTCGCGATAGAAAATTACCTTACTGTAATCAGGAATTGGTACGTAAATAATCCACAATAAGCTTCAATATGTTTCTTTAGGTGTGAAAAGAATACCAAATGGAATCTAATAATGTAAATTGTTTGTTTGGATGGTGAAAACAGGGGCGGGATAAGGTATTCGTTTCAGTTATACCAGAAGAAGAGCGTGTTGCATGGATGTGGGCCCTGCTAATCGCATTTTCAATACCAGAGATTGGTGCATTCATTCGGTCCATTCGTATTTGTTTCTTCAAATCATGGAAAAGACCCCAACGCTCGCATTTCCTTTTCATATTCTTAATGGAAACACTGCATACGATTGGTGTGGCCATGCTCATGTTTATCGTTCTACCCGAATTGGACTCCGTCAAAGCTGCAATGGTTACGAATTGTTTGTGCTGTATTCCAGGTAATCAAAAAAAAAATCTATATCATAAGCTACTTGGAACGTGATTGCCGCACCTCTTTATATGATTTTATGATGCTCAACGGATTTTTCGTTTCAGGTATTCTCGGTTTACTCTCACGTTCATCGAAAGAAGGGCGTCGAGCGTTGAAAGTTTTCTTTGATTTGTTAGCAATTTCCGCGCAAATAACCGGATTTGTCGTATGGCCATTGTTGGAAAACAATCGACCGATTCTGTGGATGGTACCAATTGGTGCTATATTAACATCGTGCGCTTGGTGGGAAAACTATGTGTACGGGACGAAATCTGCTAAATTTATCTGATAAAATTGAGGAGCAACGTTTCAAGAATTTTTTTTTCTTTATGATTAGATGCATTCATTCACCCATCGGTTTTGTTCGTGCAATGGGTCGTGCCAAGGAGGATTTGCGAACCACTCGGTATTTCAACAGCATTTTCTTTTCGGTGTGGAAAATTCTATTGTTCTTTTGTTCGTTGGTCGTTATTTTATGGATACAAGGCGAATATCCAATGAATTTATTCCATATGTTTGGTGATGCATTCGGTCCACACAAAATTGTTGTTGAAGAGGTCGCTGAATCGTTGAGAGTCAGTCTACCGGATATTATTACTAATTCACAAGTTTGTATTATATATTGTTTACTATTCATGAGAGAAAAACTGTACTTTACTAAACTATTTCGTTTTTCTTAGCTCGGTGATACTACGGAAATTGACGCCGAATACAATACCGTCGTTTATGTTTTATTACTTCAAATAGTTTCAGCATATTTATGCTATATTTTTGGCAAATTCGCATGTAAAATTTTAATTCAAGGATTCAGCTACGCATTCCCCGTCAATTTAACCATTCCGGTGTCAATTTCATTGATGATTGCCGCATGCGGAATTCGAAATGATGATCCATGCTTTTTCAGTGGCAGCATACCTGATTATTTGTTCTTCAGCAGTCCGTTGGTATTTAAATTGCAAGAATTTGCGGCACGTGAAATGGCATGGGCATGGTTACTTTGGTTGCTATCACAAACGTGGATCACAATTCATATATGGACGCCGAAATGTGAACGTTTGGCAACAACTGAAAAATTATTCGTTAGCCCCATGTACAGTGGATTGTTGATCGATCAATCGTTGGCATTGAACCGAAGACGCGACGATCAAGCCGATGTTAAAACTGAAGTAATTTACATTTTCTTTTTTACTTTTATTTTCATCTAAAAAAACTCATTCATTTGCAATAGGATTTGGCCGAAATTGAAAAAGAAAAAGGTGATGAATATTACGAAACGATTTCCGTGCACACCGATGGTTCAACGCCGCATAAGCCAAACATTAAGAATTCCGATCACATTACACGAATCTATGCTTGCGCAACCATGTGGCACGAGACAAAAGACGAAATGATGGAGTTCTTGAAAAGTATCATGCGTTTGGATGAAGATCAATGTGCGCGACGTGTTGCCCAAAAATATTTGCGTGTCGTTGACCCAGATTACTATGAATTCGAAAGTGAGAAAATGAAAAACTATTAAACAAACAATGACATTCACTCAAGAATGAAACTGATTGTTTTCGTTTCGTTTCTGATTCTTTTATAGCTCACATTTTCTTCGATGATGCTTTTGAAATTTCCGATCACAGTGATGCTGACATTCAAGTAAATCGGTTCGTGAAATTGTTGGTGCAAACAATTGACGATGCGGCCTCCGATGTACATCAAACAACAATTCGTGTTCGTCCGCCAAAGAAATATCCATCACCGTACGGTGGCCGATTGGTGTGGACATTGCCTGGCAAAACAAAGATGATCGCTCATTTGAAAGACAAAGATCGAATTCGACATCGTAAACGTTGGTCACAAGTGATGTACATGTACTATTTGTTGGGACATCGATTAATGGAATTGCCAATTTCGGTGGATCGGAAAGAGGTTGTCGCTGAAAATACTTATTTGCTAACATTGGATGGTGATATTGATTTTCAACCGGGTGCCGTCATGCTTTTGGTCGATTTGATGAAAAAGAATAAAAACCTGGGAGCTGCGTAAGTATTAAAAGAATAATGTTTTGTCTACGTTTTGTCAACCCATTGAAACCCCCTCTTTTAACTTTGAAAAACCGATTTTGCTCTACCCTTGTGATCCTTCGAGCAATCGAACTGGATTGACGTTGACGAAACTCTTTTCATAATGATATATTTTCGCATAAATGGCAATGAAAACATATGCAGTTTAAAGGTGTCATCGGCCACGGCAGACCTGTGGACATAGAGGTAGCCACGGACAACAATTTGTCCGACTTACCTTTTATGGTTCGGACAACATTTTTGTCCGAGAACGATTCGGGCATGAGGTTGATACGGAAAAAATTCGCTCGAAAGAGCATCTCTTCACATGTTTCACAACCATTAACCTTTGTTAACCAATTGCACATATTTTTGACGCCACGTCGATATTCAATTGGAACTTGATGTAAAATCTCGTCAAGTGCTTTTACACTACTTTCGGCTTCATTGTTTTCGGTTGACGGATCGACGACGGCTGGATCAATATCGATTTCATTGTTTTCGCGATTTGCGGGTGGCGTGTCAACATTGGCTGGATTAACGCGAATTTCATCGTTTTCTTTGCTTTCGTTATTTTTGATGTCTTCCTGTGAAGTGGAAGTGTGCTGGGCCCATAACCTGATGAAAATAGATATTTAAGAGGAGGCCTTTGACATGAGACCATTACCGTTTCAGTGGAAGAGTCGATGTCCAATATAAGAGAGAGTTTATTCTGTTTCGGTAGTCTGATTGTGTTTGACACTTGTACAAGAACACTTGAACGTTCAACACTTTGTCATTGCAAATATTAATGCTCGTTCACATTTTCAATAAAAAATCCACCGATCGATTCCTTCCAATGCACAAGTACTTGCTTGCGGTTATTCTTATTTGTCGTGTTTTAATCGACGGGCTTACCCGGGCACTTCGACATTTTTCCAGAACTTACTATGTGTTGATCGAAAAATCTACTGTGTGTTAATCGCAATACAATAAATGACAGTCGGATAAAACTTCACGGTTAAGCGGCTAGCTTCTTAAACATAAACATTTTATGATACAAACAGACTTATTGTCTTAAATTTTGCCTCTGAATTTTTATGTTGGATATAGTCCCATTTATCATTCAAATTATATAGCAGTAATACATATATTATCTTTCTCCAGTTCGAAATTTTCATTGTTTGTTCTCTATTTCATTTTTTCTTTTCATTTTCGTCGACCGGTCGGACCGCAGATGTGGCCGCATTCACCCGATCGGAAGTGGCCCAATGGTGTGGTATCAGAAATTCGAATATGCAATTGGTCATTGGCTGCAAAAAGCAACGGAACATATGATCGGTTGTGTACTTTGTAGCCCCGGTTGTTTTTCACTGTTTCGTGGTAAGGCATTGATGGACGATAACGTGATGAAGAAATACACGACACGTTCAGATGAAGCACGTCACTATGTGCAATACGATCAGGGAGAAGATCGTTGGTTGTGCACACTATTGTTGCAACGTGGCTATCGTGTTGAATACTCTGCTGCATCTGATGCATACACCCATTGCCCAGAAGGATTCAATGAATTTTATAATCAACGTCGTCGTTGGGTGCCCTCGACTATAGCCAACATCATGGATTTACTTGTCGATTACAAACGTACGGTTAAAATAAATGACAACATTTCGCTACTTTACATTGCCTACCAAGTTATGTTGATGGGTGGTACAATTCTTGGACCTGGAACGATATTTCTTATGTTGGTTGGAGCTTTTGTGGCCGCGTTTAAAATTGACAATTGGACATCATTCCATTACAACATTTTTCCGATTCTTTTCTTCATGGTTATCTGTTTCACGTGCAAATCGAACGTTCAATTGATTATAGCGCAGATTCTGTCCACGATATATGCGCTTATTATGATGGCAGTGATAGTGGGTACGGCATTACAATTGGGCGAAGATGGTATCGGCAGTCCATCGGCAATATTCTTGATAGCATCGGCGTTAACGTTTTTAATAGCATCGCTACTGCATCCGCAAGAATTTTGGTGCATATCGGCTGGCATTATTTATGTTCTTTCAATTCCATCGATGTATTTGCTTTTGATTTTGTACTCAATCATCAACTTGAATGTCGTGTCGTGGGGAACGCGTGAAGTGGTGGCAAAGAAAACGAAAAAGGAGTTGGAACGCGAAAAGAAAGAGGCCGAAGAGGCAGCAAAACGTGCCAAACAAAAGTCTTTGTTGAGTTTCTTACAAGGCGGCGTTGGTGATAATGGCGATGAAGAGGGCTCCATTGAATTATCATTGGCTGGACTATTCCGTTGTATGTTCTGTACGCATGGCAAAACAAGCGATGAAAAAGCACAATTGGCCCATATTGCCGATTCTTTAACGACAATTCAAAAGAAAATCGATACAATCGAACATATTGTCGATCCACATGGTTTTCAACATCGTAAACGTACAGCTTCGGTAAGTCATACTTTTGTACATTTCATTTTCTTCTTCAAAATTGTATATTACATTTTCTTATAACAGGGAAGCTCACGCGATCATCATTTGGGCTCAGTTGTTGAGGAAACCGACGAAGATAGTGAGCATTCTGATTCGGAAACGTCAACGGTTCAACGCGAAGAACGTGATTTTCTCACAAATCCATACTGGATTGATGATCAGGATTTGAAGAAAGGTGAAGTTGATTTCTTAAACAGCTCGGAAATTCAATTTTGGAAAGATCTCATCGACAAGTATCTTTATCCAATCGATCAAGACAAAGAAGAACAGGTATTTTGATGTTGTAATTTTCTATTTTAGTGCAAATATGTCATTTTGAACGTAATGCAAAAACCATTCTTTACACCGACGTTCAAAATGTCATTTTTGCAATGAGATTTAGTTTTATATACGTTTTACGTGGCTTTTTGGTAAGTATTGTTGTAGTAGAATAGGTAATATGAAAAAAAAAATAATGAATGATAAGAAGTACGTCAGCTTCGGATCATGTCAACTTTATGAAATTGACGAAAAAACCAAATTGTTCATTCCAATATCGTTCGAAAATCAGGCTAGAATTGCAAGTCATTTGAAGGAGTTACGTAATTCGTCGGTGTTTGCATTTTTCATGATCAATGCATTATTTGTGTTGATTGTATTTTTGCTGCAATTGAATAAAGGTAAATTGCATACATTTTCAGTTCTTTTTGTTGATATTCCTTTTATAAAAAAAAAAAATGAAAAACAAAATTTACGAACCCATAAATCTATATCTTCGCAGATTCTATACATGTTAAATGGCCATTAGGTAATATACTGTCTTTATTCGTCGTCTCCATTGATATGTTGGCCCACTGACTAATACATTTTCTTTATAAATTATAGGTGTTAAGACAAATATTACCTATGACGAAACAACACAAGAGGTAACGCACAGGGACACCACTCCATGCGGTCACAGCGCACTATGCGTCGCTGTGTGCTGGTTTGGTGTCCCTTTTAAGTTCATTTCATTAATTTTCTTTTTTTTTTGTTTTTTTTATTTCTTTTTTTTTCTTTGGACAACAAAATGAAAAATCACACATTGAAAAATCCATAAACATACAAACACATTGACATAAATTCACATTTACGCGTCAATTCGATTCGCGCATCGTCATCATCGATCGACCGCACGAAACAATCAAAACACAAATCGCAAAGACACGAGTTGCAAAAGATTTAATCGAGCTCCGAAACAAGTCCGTGTTCGCATTTTTCATGTTCAACGCATTATTCGTATTGATCGTATTCCTAATGCAATTAAACAAAGAAAAAATCCACATAAATTGGCCTTTCGGGCTGCGTACGAACGTAACTTACAATGAAGAAACTGGCGAGGTTGGATAAATAGTTTTTTTATTATATATTATTTCACACATTTTCTTCTAAATCATCTGTGTGATTTGGATATCTATATACTGACTGTGATATTCTAACTAACTCCAATTGTGTTAATTGGTTCACAGCAAAATTCCAGTTCCTAGTCATTTGAACTAGTCGCTCTCTATCCACTATGTGTATCACTGTTCCGCACAAATTCTTTTATTTTTTATATATTTATATGTGTCTATTTTATTGCTCGCAGAACTTTTCCATATTCACCTAATATATGGTACAACAATTCTAATTTTGAACTTTAAACACTATGATAAAAAAATATATACATATGTCGATCACTCTGTTTTAATATCGTGCACGTTTTAATTTTATTTGGAAGCTATTCAATAGGGGAAAAATATAAATATCAAATAATCTTCACTTCTCTAACTTCCTTTCCAATACGTTTCTCACACTTAAAAATCGGTTTAAATACTATATATATACTTAAAATATCTCACTTTGACAATACACACTTGACCTGAACGTTTATTATGGCTCTAATCTAATGTAAAGAACACCTATTCCTTAATTGTTTTTCGTTTGTGTATAATTTTCTTCGTGGTATAAGAAGTCAATAGTAAAAATTGTTTTCTTTTTTGAATTCTTTATCTCGGCCACTCATATTTTCGTAACCAAAATTTTGGATTTGATAAAATCAAACATTTTTACTGTCTGACTTTTCTAATTTATTTACCAATTATTAAGTCCACACATCAATATAAGTAAATGGTCTGGTATATTTTCAACCAATATAGAAAGCGCCACCTAGTGTATTCCGTACTCAAACTAAATTTGAATTTAAAAAAATCGTTTATTTCGCAAATATTCTGAATGTAATTTTAAATGTAGGTCGGAAAAACTACCAATCGATTTTTCTCGCTTTTCCGATGGGAAATCGAAAAAAATAGCGAAAATTCGGTACCCTCTCTCAAATCTATCTCAAATTATATTATAGAGTAAACTGTGTTATATAAGCGATTGTGAGATGAAATGAGCTGGAAATGAATCTTGTGGAGCAGGTGGATCCGACCTGGTCCAAAGTGTTCTGGAAAACGAGTGCTCGTGGTCCACTCCCGTATGGGGGTACCGAATTTTCGCTATTTTTCCCGATTTCTCATCGGAAAAGCGAGAAAAATCGATTGGTAGTTTTTCCGACCTACATTTAAAATTACATTCAGAATATTTGCGAACTAAATGATTTTTTTTTAATTCAAATTTAGTTTGAGTACGGAATACACTAGGTGGCGCTTTCTATATTGGTTGAATCTTATAACATTGCAAGCATATAGCGATTCCAGACACTGCCACACATGAAGACTAAATAATTTTTTTTTGAAACAAAAGATTTGGATGTCATCTTGGACACTTAATTTAAAATAGCGGTAAAAAAAACCAATGTCAAAATTCTAAAACAAAAAAATAAAAACAATGTCAAAATCAATGTGACTAATTTATGTGTTAAAATGTAAAGGTATTTTTCAAATGAAGAATTTATTCAGTCCTATTTGTAATTTACAAATTGTAAATAACTCAAAATACAAAGAAAATGTGTGTACTTTCTCTTTGCTGGGCTGTTTAATAATTCGATTTAGAAAGGAAGAGATGGCATGTAGTAATCATTTGATTGCATTTCACTTTAGGTTCACATATCGAAGGAATATTTGCAATTGGAGCCGATCGGTTTGGTGTTTGTGTTCTTCTTCGCATTGATTCTGGTTATTCAATTCACGGCCATGTTGTTCCATCGTTTCGGAACTTTGTCACACATTTTGGCCGCAACTGAATTGAATTTCTGCTGCAACAAAAAGACCGAAGAACTAAGTCAAGATGCGCTCATTGACAAGGTAAAATATGATAGATAAATGCAGAGAAATCAAAAATCGTTTTACATTCCAATTAAAATAATGACCAAAATCTGTTCATTTTTAGCATGCGGTGGAAATTGTGAAAAATCTACAACGTTTACAAGGTATTGATGGCGATTACGACAATGATTCGGGCAGTGGACCTGATCGCATAGCACGTCGACGAACCATTCTAAATTTGGACAAAGCGGCCAAACCACGACGACAGATTGGCACCTTAGATGTTGCATTTAAAAAGCGTTTCTTACAGTTAACCGCTGATGAGAATAATCAAAATAAAAATCGTAAGCAAATTCAATTTCACTCAGAAAAAAGCGAGTTGATTAAAAAACACGCCCCTTTTCAGGTACTCCAATATTGACACGACGAATGACAATGCGCCGCGAAACAATTCGAGCACTTGAAGTGCGTAAAAATTCGGTAATGGCTGAGCGTCGTAAATCTCAAATGCAAACTCTCGGTGCAAACAATGAATACGGAGTTGTAACGAACGTAAGATTTCCGTCATTAAACTTCACACTTCAATTGCGATACAAATTTTGTTTTTGTTTCTCTTGTAGCAAATGAATAACAACCATGGACAACCTATGCGAACACATCGTTCTTCAAACGCAGTTCCAATTTCTGTGAAGGATGTGTTCGATGTGAACGGTGGTCCGAATTCACAAATTTATGGCACGAGCGGAAATGCTGGTCAAATCAATCAGGCGTATGAGCCGGTTGTTGATGACGACGATAGAAATTCATTACGTTTAGCACCCAGAAATCATCAAGCCGCATGGAGTGGTGGTATCGGCAATAACTCAAAATTGTAGAATTTGTACAACGAATTTTGGACACATTCACATCTAGACAAATTATTTTCAAATTGTATGTAATTTCTGTTAGTGTTAGTTAGTGAAACAAAAAAAAAAAAAAAAAAACAAACAAACAAACTGAGTCAATAATTTTTTCGAATGCCCTTTTATTGTTTTGTTTATTATTTGAGTTGATTCTGAATTCGGAATTTTCCAACTACAAACATATACATTTTTACGAAAGGGTTTTAGTCTAATGCCATCGACCGTGTTCGAATACGCACAAATATTACATTGAACACAAAAACCATTTCAACTATTTATTTATCCGATGTATCGTGGCAGTTTTATTAATTTAAAAAGAAGATATGAAATGCGTGTAAAATATAATTATGGATTAACGAGAGAGTGATAATCTATGTAAAAAGAATGAAGAAATGTAACTTAGGTTTATCAACACCTCTATAAATACTCGATGAAAAACAAATGAAAACAGAAGAAAACAAAAAACTTTTTTTTATAAACGGCAATACTATTAATTTAAAATATATTTTATACTTGTTTCTCTTTTAAGCAAAACTAAAGCAGCGTTTTATTTCAAAACTTTTCTTTGCACTTTACTTGCCAGAAATGGCGGATAAAGGGCAGCAAACTCTGGCAACGACCTGCCACATTCAAAGACAGACGCAAATGGGTGTTATCCGTATAAGTCAACATCTTAAGTGTTTTTCTCCAAAAAAATTTTTTGTTTACATTGTTCTTTTAATGAAAATCGAAATAGCATTTAATCTCAATATTTCTTACTCAACGCTTACACAATTTGAATGTTTTGTTTATAACTTTGAAGCTACATTGACTCGCGCTGGCGCCATCTAACCACTCAACAGCGAACAGTTGATGTGAAAATACCGCGTTAAACCTTAAAAATGTTCTTGCATTCCGTTTTGTGAATAGCCTCTATAGAAACCGTATCAAAACAATCCATCAGTTCGATGGAAACATTTCGAAAAACATCTACGAAAATTGTAAAAAAAGGAGCAAACAAAAAAAAATTAACATGAAACCACCTGTCACAAGCAAAATATTTTGATGTTAACTTTTTGTTATGCCATACTTCAACGAAATTATAAAAATAGCATACTTTCAAGCGTAATACGTGCAGCATAAACGGAGTCATTGATTTCGTCTGAAGCAGAATATTCCATGAATGTGAATCGAATTAAAAGTTCGAAGAATCAAAATATGTTCATGACGGCGGTAAAGTTATATAGTATGATCGTATTGTGCGCTTAATCGCAGAAAAAACGAAATAACGTACATGAAAACAACCATATCGTTGTTGTTCGAGTAAGTAACAAAGTGTTGCGTGTCGAACAGCCGTTTTGGTTTGGCTTTACATTTTTACCCTTGCAACGACCAATTTGTCGAACAACGACAGCCGTTTCCGTTGTTAATCGTTGTATGCATAAGACTGGGTATATCGCTTGAAGCGCACAACATGAATATGAAGAAGCTATCGCGACAATATATTTTATGACCCAATTTTCCACGTGGTCTTACATTTCGAATCTCGATAATTTGCTTCGTTCTCTTACCCTCTTCGCGCTTAATTTTTCTTTCTTTTATTTGCATAGAAAATGTGCAAACACACCACATTGTGTTGAAAGAAAATCAATAAAGTCACAACACAATAATTAGAAGCCAGCAGGCTCGATTCCATTGTTCGTTTGCTGTTGCGGTTGTTGATTTGTATACAATAGACTTGAGCGGTGAATGAAAAATGACAAACAAATATATAAACGGGCGAAATAAAAGAAAGAAAGCACAAAAAACACATCGACAACAAAGGATTAGCACTTTTCCAGTTGTTTTGGTGTGCTCTTCTTTTTTTACCCTATGCCATACACAATCAAGTGTGCTGACTAGTTTTTTGTTGAAAAGGCAAAAAACTTTTTTGTTTGTAGCTTTCCGTGCCTGGCAAAATACAAAACACAAAATGCTCGTTTAGTTCGGCGCACCACACTTTTCAGTAGTTTTCCACATTCGATGGGTGCCAGTACGAAATTTGATTTTGATTGTGACACAATGATTTCGAAAATGTTCCGAATCTATCTTGTTCTGTGCTTTTTTATATCAATATGTTTGTCTTGCCGTTTGCTCGTGCCCAGTGAACTGTTGAACGGATGCATATTCGACCCCATGATTGGTAAGTATTTCCATAGAAATAAAAATAAATCGTTTAATTTAAAATGCAATATTTTGATGGTAGTGAGTGTTTCTCATGCTGGGTTTTCAATAAGTCGCGATAATTGCAATTCGGAAATCGCCAAGCATGTGTTTGCTGAACAACCATTGGTAATTATTAACATTTATTAACATTTTTATTTTTTCATTTTTCAACAAATATTAATATGATTTTCTTCTAATATATATTTCTTCTAGGTTTACTACGGTCGCGCCCGATCGGTAAGTATTTCCATAGAAATAAAAATAAATCTTTCAATTTAAATGGTAACAAAAAAGTGGAAGTGTCTTGATTCGAAATTAAATTGAAAATCGTTGAACTTCGAAACGTCAACTAAATTAAAATGAGTATGCATTGAGTAAAAATGAAAACTTTTCACTTGAAATTTAAGTATGAACTCATTTTTTTTATCGCGAATTCTGTAAAATAAACCAGGTCACAAAATGACCGACCTTGACTGGAAATGAAAAAAGGCCTAAGAATAAAAACATACTTAAAATTTATAAATAGACAAAAGTGCTTATTGATTTTTTTCGTTGACTCTTTTTTTCTCTCTTTCCAATAGGATCGCACATACACGGTAATTGTAATAAATGAACTTAACTTCCACAGATTAAAAGTGTTAAAAGTGATTTTAATCAAATCAGGTAATGATGATCGATCCGGATTATCCACATCATCAAAACGGTCAATTTTACTTACACTGGCTCGTTACAAATATTCCCGTAAGAAAGTTTACAATTGAATTTACATAAATGTGTTTATTGAATGCTAATTCATATGATTTCGATTGAAATAAGGGTGAATGGCTGCGTCAAGGTTTGACTTACGATATCGGTGAATATATTGTTGGTAAGTGTCACCTTTCTTGTGATATTTCATATTAATATTTGGATTTTCTTCTATTTAGGCTACACAGCACCCGACCCACCAGGTATTTTGTTTCTTTTTATTTTAAATCATAACTTTTAATTATAGGAACCTCCTTCGTCAGTTTTTTCAGGCGAGCACCGCTACATGGTTTTTGCTTATGAGCAACTGGAGCACGAAATAGAAGTCCCCCAGCCAGATTCACGTGCAAAGTTTGATCCAATTTCGTGGATGGAATCGTTTGGCGGAGAAGACGTGATTCGTGGTAAGATATATTTTCGCTCTCGAGCAATGTATTCATGTGCCTTTGTATTTATGAAATATTATATTTTTTATAACTTTTCTAGGCCCTGTCGCATCGATCGGATTTAAGTCCGAATTTTAATCAATCGCCGCGTATTCATTTTAACAAAACGAAAACTCAACATATTAATCAAGTAAAGAAGCAAGCGATGAGAATTCACAAAAGTTTCCAACACTCAAATCGCTCTCTTAGAATATAATATTTAGCTCTATCTTTAAAATGTCAAAGTGTCGCGGATTAAGTTTTGCTTTTGTTTTGTCTTGGCTTGGCTGTTGTGTGTGTGTGCGAGAGTGTTTGTGTTTTTTGGCTCTTTCTTCTTCATTGAGATTAGATAGACAACCCACGCAGTATCGTAGCTAAGTTTGAAAGAGTAAAACTCTTTAATATCTCATACCTTGAATAAATATGGAGAGAAATAGAGGGAGAGAGAGAAAGACAATAATAATAATACACAAGAGACGCAATAAGCACAAGCAAGCAGCGCCAGTCAATGTGCACGCCGGTATATCACATAGTACCAATCATTTTTGCATCAGTTTTCATTAAGATTCAATTGAAAATTCAGCATGCAATCGCAAAATCTTTAATCTCCTTGATATAATTATCCATGATGAAATTGCAGAGCTCATTCATGGCAAAAACCGAGCAAATTCATTCGGTTTCCCTCTGTACAATATGCGACTAGAGACCAAATTAATGTTGTCGTTTTTCCTGGAGTTCATTTATCAAACGAAATGGAGAAAAAAGTGCACGGTGTTGCATCTAGACTCTCTCCATCTCTCTCTCTCTCTCGCTCATTGAAAGGTGTGTGTTTGAATGCTGGTTGTTTTTATGCGTTCATTGAGACACTGTTCAGCTACAATCTTGTGCTATAGTAACGGAGCGTGCGATGTAATCATGCACTTCATTCAATTCCACATATGTCGATAGGTACATTGTCAAGCGTAGCGAGCGCAAAAATTCATTCATAAAATGGTTACACAAAGTGAATAGACAGAGAGCAGAAAAAAAGCCATGAGCTCGGTAAGTCTCTCGGGTGTCTTTGGCAAATAAGCACACGAGTGTAAAACTGAAAAACAACACGACGCAGAATACGAAAAAACATACACACATCAAACTCGACAAATTTATGAATGAAAATCTATACTCCATTGATATGAGGTGAGGCACACACGTCGTGTATTTTCAGCATGCTCATACATGCAAACTCCTCTGAGAGAAAGACATAGCGAGAGAGAGAGAGAAAGAGAGAGAAGAGACTATTAAATTTCAGTTCTCAGTTCATGTTTCAATCATAAGCCGAGATTTGTATTTATGGTGCATACATGTATGTAGCCAGTGCACGTCAAACGAGGTAAATTACCTAAAATTATTCGCAGCTGATCGCTTGTTTCCATAAATTCTCAACGAAAAAAAAACAACCAACTCAAAATAGCGCACCTCACATGAACTATTGGACTTACCAAAATAGGCAAGAAAGAAAATAGCAATATCGTCATCGTCATAAACACACACACACACACACACACACATGCAGCGAAAAATGAATGAAGGGAAAGGTTTTGATTTTATATTAGACAATTACAGCCATGAAAACTATGCGATTGCACAAACAATTATATTCAAAACGGTTTTTAATGATTATTTTGGTCACAATTTGGACGAAATTAAATCGGTTGTGTTGAGTGACATATACATTCATTTCCATAGCTTGTGCGCGGTTAGCGCTCGTTTGCCATTTTATTTTCATGATATTACGTCATTTTCAAAGTGAATTCATATTTGCCATACATGCATTTAAACCTTTTCGACCGACTTGCATACCGCCAGTACATAAGCACTAGAATAATAATGTAATTGTTATTCACATAAATTCTATTGCACCATAAAAATTTTGATGAATCGACGCAAATTGCAAACCAGGTGAACGAACACACACAACAAAAAAAAAAGACAAGGAATCCACCAAATACGTAGGTTTTTCAATCAATTTATTTATCAATTGCAGTTGACTTTTCAAATTAAACAAAAAAAATACAATTTACACATGCAGCAAGTTTTTCTTTTGGCTGTCAAACAACTCGATTAACCGTTTAATTTATAATTAATAAGTTGGAGTTGCAATTTGCATTAAAACATGTTCTGTACTCGATAGATTTTATGTTGAATAAAAAATGAAAAAAAAAAAATGTAACCCCTAATGTAAAAGCAGAAAAATTAAAAATAAAGAAATCATTTCCCCCGTTTTGATTTTGACCTAAAACAATGTGATATCTTATCATCTAAAAGCAAATAAAAATAATTGAGTGACGAAGATGAAGAAAAAAAAATGCGAAAAATCAACAAACAAATCCAAATAAATGATTTTTCTTAGATATTGGGAAAGCGGTACTTGATAGTGGGCGAATGGCATTACGCGCTTGCAACATGCTAAACAACCAGCACAAGAAAAATATGATTGTTAGTATTTAAAATTGTGTGGGCATACATCGGCATTAATTCAATTTTGATTTCCTGTTTCGCCACTTTTCTCTAAAATAAATATAACTCCGGAGCACACAACATTTTTACAGCATACGAACAATCATTCATGGTACGCAGCATACACAAAATCGGTTTTAATGAATTGTCTGAAAATTTAGTCATCGAGCGCATCAATTACCATATTCAAAATTTCCGGCTTATAGATACCATTATCATCTACTTATGTTTTTGAGCAGCGATGAATTTTCGAAGATGTTTACCAGGCACAACTCCTATTTTCGATTTAGATACATCTTCAAGAGTAGGCAAAAAGGATTTCACAGATGTTGTGGTATTACGCATAAATTGGATGGACAATATAAGATTTTATTTTTTTTCATGAGCACAGCGAAGGTGTACCCCCCCGGATAAGGGTTTTACGCACATTTTTATGGCATACTGTTGTGTGTATTTTAACTCATTTATTATTTTTATATATTTTGAATGTCAGAAAGTCAGAAATAAAACTTTGAAGGTTAATCAGATCGAATTGAATAGGGAATAATTTTTATAACCAAGTGAAGAGACTTTTCTTGGAAAAAATTTGACGTCATTCCTTAATCTATTTTAATATTACCGAATTGCGTACTCGATTGCGTATCAATATATTGCGTTGCAAACTACCTTTAACGATGTATATTTATATTTTCTGCTTTTTTAACATTTAATTATACTTTCGTAATGGAAATAAAATGTCAGCGGAGGCGCCATTCAAAAAAGAGAACCCAGAAAAATTGTCTTAATAACGGAATTGCTTTCTCTTCGTTTTTTTTTCTTCTTCACAGAAACACATCACAATAGAACATGACAATGACCGTTATGCGCAAAGGTGAAAAGCCAGTGTACGAATAGAGTTGCATTTGTTTATTTTTTTTTTGTCCATTTACATTTTACATTTGTAGATGGATTATTGTTTGTTTGGATCGGACGTGAATTGTCAACAGCATAAAATAGAGAAAAAAAATCGAGAATATACACAAAACGAGTCACTAGCATACAATAATTTGGTTCTGACAGCGATTTTTATGCATTTTCATGTGTTTTTATGGTTGATCCAACCATACGACGCACGCTTTTTCTAGCTGTCGAATTCCTGTATATCACATGCATCGTAAAGAACATGACAGCCGATAAGTGCTGAGACGCAAATAAACTAATAACTAACGAGCACAAACATTTGCCCATAGCATAAATGAAATGGCGAATGACCAAGCGGAATCGAAATCAAAATCACTATCATTTCGGATGCATTAGTTACATGTATGTTCTTTGGTGTATTAGGTTCGACAGATTTATTTGTATTTGATAGCGTATGCGATCAAATTCGTATTTTGTGCAATATGCTATGACCAAAAGGTGTCGAAACGGAAACGAGAAAAAAAAACAATGTTGTACTTAATAAATGGTACAACAACAAAAAATATGGTATACTGTATGTAAGGCGACAAAATGATGACAACAAATCGAGGACAATGCATATCGAATTGTGATGCATTCAAAGGATTGCAAAAAGAGAGACATGATTCTGAGCGCTTAAAATCAACGTTCAACAATGGTAACGAGTTTATTTGGTGCATTGCATTGACTATAGATGAAGCATAAGAACGAATCACTATAGACAAACAATGAACGACTGTGAGCTTCAAAAAAAAAAACTAAAAAATTGGGAGTGTCTCAAGACATATACTGGTTAGCTTGCGCCGATCAAGAAAACTTATGCTTTTCAACTATAATATTATCCGCATTTTGATTCCCGGCTGGTTGTTGTAGAACCTTAAATGAAACTGTTCTTATCATGTTTTTACACTTGGATTTCACTCGGCGAAGTGAAGAAAAAAAAAACTTACATTTTCGATGTTGAATGTGTGCTCGGTTGTCAAAAAAATCCCGACATTTACAATTGATAAGTTTATTGCTTTCGTATTAATGGTAAAAATGATGCGATCGGTCTGAGTTGGAGCATGCGAATAAAAAAAAACGAGAGCCACACACAAGACTTTGATAAACTATTTTATAGGCAAATCAATGAATTAATGTTATTTTATTTCGGTGCAAACGTGATGTGTTTCCAAGTTCTCTTCGAATTGAATGAAATGAAATGGAAAATTGAAAAGCCAGACATTAAAATTGCTGTGGCGTACACACGGCGAGATGACAATTGATGCATCCAGGTAATGTGATTGTAAGATTGTCTAGAAGCACAAAGAACAAGGAAATTGTACGCTCTGTGATCTCTCTAACAAGAAGACTAGTTTTGCCGAACGACTCGAAAATAAAATATGAATGTAATTAATATTTTATTGCCATTTATTCATGTAATTGCAATGTGCAGATGAATTATGGTTTTCGATTGAATCGAATGTTGAAATAAGCAACAGAACAAAGGCAAAAAAAAGTTTGAAGAACATTTCTTCAAGACACAAACATAGAGATCGAATCAAGAACCGTTGAAGAATAGAGTTTACGCGTGCTGGCACTGTGGCGCATCGTAAATGAAAATCCATAAATAAGAATCACTCATAACATCACATAAAAATCATTCTTATGTATGCTCGATGCTCGTACCGAAATAAGATAGCGGAATAAAGGCAAAAGGAATTGAACGATTTTGAACTCAGCAATTTGAATAAAAAAAAATGGTAAGAAAAAGGTAAACGTCGATTCGAAAGCATAACACCCGACACATAATTTAGACAAACCGAAGTCGGAGCCGACATATCAATAATATTTGATGATTTTTTCGTTTGCATTCATCTATTTTGCAATGGATTTATGGAATTCATATGCAAAAAGTTCATCATCGCCGGCACTTCGGTATAGGATGCACTCACTGATCATTTGATAATTGAATTTAAAATGTCAGTTTGTGTATGTGGTTTTTTTTTCTTCTTCGTATTAAATTTATTTAGGCTTGCTTTTTTTCTATTAAAACCTTCTCAAGTGATATTCAACACTAACATTTCATTACATCGAGAGAGAGAGAAAGAGAGAGAGAAAATTGATTGCGCACACTTTTCCATCATCCATTTGCAATGTACTACAATTTATCCGCACTTTTTCCGTGCAATCAATTATTTTGTCGATGGATGTGTTTGTAGTTTTAGTTTTTTCGTGCGGTGCACATGCTCATATGAGATAATTTTCATTATAAATTTACATGTGAATATCAAAATGCACTTAAATTATTATTATGCATACCACTCAAGTCCCTTAGAAACTGATGTTCGTTGATTTGGTTCTTGTAAATTTGCGCTCGGTGTTTTCTTCTTTTTACATACATTTTATGCCGTATTAAAATATCATACACAAAACATTAATTTTGCAATAATGAACATTATAAGCGATAACCCTATTTATAAGTACACAACGTGCATCATTCGTTATTTTGGGCTTTGCCAAACAGAGAGCATACGCATGGCAGAGAGAAAACTACAAAAAAAAATAACAACAAACAATTCGTAGAGACAGAGAATCATCTGAAAATTCAATATGTGAAAAAATAATCTCGAATATGTGTTGTTATATTATTATTATTCAAAACTGCACACACGTATCCTTGGGGCTTAAACTTAAACATTTCATGTGACCTATCACCTTGTGTATTTCTCTATACGGTTTTCGGTTCGACTCTGCCATTTCATTTGGATCGCATATACATACATTCACTGAGATTATAGCGCGCAATGCACTAGACTCATATATCTTTTCTTCACTCTTCGATTTTTTTCTGCACTCATATTTTTCAATCGTGGTGGTATATATTATAAATGGATTAAGGATTTCCATGGCAATGTGCACAGAAAATGATTTAATTTTTCATTAGAAAATTAACAATCGCTAATAAAATAATAATTGGCAGCTTGAACTTTGAAACAGAACGATGAGAAATGAACGACCGGCAAATTGAAGTGCGAGAACAAACCGAAGAAAAATGATGTGTTTGTTTGTTTGTTTTTTGTGGGAAAAGCGACAATTTGTTATCGAATCGCACAATCGTTGCCGTCGGGCATTTGTTTTTTTTTTTTCTTTCGCAAGATTACATTTACAAGCGAGAGCGCACGGCGAGAAAAAAAAATTCGGCCAAAAAAAGAATGAGTGAAAACAAATGAAGCGCTAGAATATTGCCAAAAAACAAAATGTTCAAAATTATATGCTGATAATAATATTACTATTAAATATTCACGGCTAAAAACATGTTGAACGAGAGGTAACAAGGAAAATAAATTAATTTTCAAAATCAATACGAACGAGAAGGAAACAAAAAAAAGATTGGCAATACAAAAACATGAAGATGAAGAAATCAATGCATAAACGGTGAATTATGATGTGCGTTTAATTTGTAAAGTAAATACAATAACGAGGAACGATATATGTAAGAAAAAACTATATTCAACCAAAACATTTATATGGTGAAATTATGCAATTTTCATAAATTACTCAATCAATG